CCCGGGATCCGAACCCGGGCCCCCAGCAGCGGAGCGCACGCACTTAACCGCTAAGCCACGGGGCCGGCCCATATTGAGACCATTGTTGATTAAAGTGTTTTTTGATACAGCTGGATTAGTATTTAGCACCTCTTTCACTTTTTTTTATCTTGCTCTTGTTGTTTGTTTCTTTTTGTCTTCCACCATTTTTCCATGTTCTCTGGCTGAAATAGAGCATTTTATCTGATTCTTTTCTTTCCCCTCTCTTAGCATATCAATTACACATTTTTTATTAAGCTCTTTTAGTGGCTGCTGTTGAGTTTTCAGTACACATTTATAACTAACCCACATTTTCTGTCAAATAAACCTATACCACTTCACTGTGTGCAAGTACTTCATAACACACTATTCCCAATTTCCCCCCCGTGCTTTGTCATATTATGGTCATTTATTTCACTTGTGTTAAGCTTCTCATTACCAAATACATTTTTATTTTAAACAAAGTGTCATCTGTTATATTAATTATAAATATATAAACGATATTTTACCTTCATTTTTTCTTTTTCTAATCCTCTACCTTTTTCATTTACATTCTTTCTGATAAATTTTTGAACATTTCATTCAAACTAGGTGCACTCATGAAAAATTTCCTCAATTTTTGTCTCAGGAAGTCCTAATTTTTCCTTTATTTTTTGATGGATAATTTTGCTTGACAGAGAATGTATTCAGAAGCGTATTCTACTTTGTCATTTTTCAATGTGCTCTGTCTTTGATTTCTCTGTAGATGAATATAATATTCTTGGGTGTGCACTTTTGAGTTTACCATGTTTATTTTTCTCTGAGTTTCCTGGATGTGCAGTTTGCTGGCTATCATTAATTTCGGGATATTTTGGTGATTATTACTTCACTTGTTTCCTCTATTACTTTCTATCTTTCTTTTCCTTCAGGTATTCCCAACATGTCTATTTTAAACCTTATGTTAAAGAGGGATGTCGTAGGCTTCATGTATATTGTACTCTGTCTTTTTTGGTTTTTTTGTTTCATAATTATAATATTTGTTTCATTGTATGGCATTTCTGTCATTTCCCAACATGCTCTTGAACATGTCGTTACAGAAATATCATGAAATGTGATCACAGTAAAAAGGTGTAAATAATTTCCATGTGTTCATGATGCTGTTAAATTGATGAGGAGTGTGTACAGAAAAAGACTGAGTTTTCATGATCACATCATAGAATATATGTTTGGACATGACAGAATCATGTGTAACTTTCCTAGAAATGGAGTGTAGATCCATCATGTTGTCATCCTTATGCATCCTACTCTACACATATGTGTCATGTTTTAGGACTCAGTTGCCATTGAGGATGTGGCTGTGAACTTCACCCCAGAGGAGTGGGCTTTACTGGATCCTTCACAGAAGAAACTCTATAGAGATGTGATGTGGGAAACCTTCAGCAACCTTGACTCAATAGGTAAGAATGAGGACATTCCTTCCCTTCACCAAAGGGAGAACGAGTGTTTCTTGCCCATTAACATTGTGCCAAGATATAGAATGTGAAAAGAGGGGATGTTAGTAAATAAACTAGATGTGCTCATAGCTCATCATGGTCTTAGAATCTAAAACTTTTTCTATAATTTCCAATACTTTGGAATTATCTTTCTGGGTCTGCATTTCAGGAAAAACATGGGAAAGTCATGATATTGAAGATCAGTACAAAAACCAAGGGAGAAAACACAGGTGAGTCACACTCAGAATAGAAGGTAATGTCTCATGTGAGAATCCTGGTATGTTATGAAATTTGAAAAAGATGCAAACAAAACGAATAACCCTTGCTGCTAATTTGGCTCTTCTTAGAAAATTTTCACCAAATATACTTTTTGAAACGTGATGTACAGGTTCAGCTTTTACAAAATAAATTCACTTGGCAACAGTTTTAATAAATCCTCTATTTGAATATCACTGTTTGGATAGTAGTAAGGCTGAAGTCCTCTTATAAAGCATTCAATATATTCAATTTTGGAGAATTCACACAAGGTGGAAAACTTTATTGTTTTCGATAAATGATAATATAACAAATATAAAATCATTAATAAAGCAACTATTAATAATGTGCTTCTCATGTTTTACAGAAGTCATATGGTATTGAGACTCTGTGAAAGTGAAGAGGGTAGTCAATGTGGAGAAAACCTCAGCCTTATTCCCAATGTTGCAGCAAAACCATGTAAATATAGTACATTTGGAGAAGTCTTCATGCATCATTCATCCCGTAATAGGCACATCAGATGTCACCCTGAACACAAAGCATATGACTATGAAAAATTTGCAGAGAAGCCATATAAATGTAAGGAATGTGGGAAAGCCTTCATTTTTCCCAGTGGTCTTCAAAAACATGAAAGAACTCATACTGGAGAGAAACCATATAAATGTAAAAAATGCAGTAAAGCATTGACTTCTTCCAGGTCTCTTAAAATACATGAAAGAATTCATACTGGAGAGAAACCATATAAATGTAAAAAATGCA